TGATCCGTGTCATTAAACTCATTTGAAAAATTGCTGCTGGTATTATAAATAAAAATGGTTGAACTCTCCTTTGCGAGAAATACTTTTGTATATTTGTAATACCAACAAAATATTTAATTATTACAACAAAGTCAATCATATTTAGAAAAATACTGTTGTTGCTAATATAATATAATAATACATATAGAATAATATATGTAGAATAATACATATCCTACTTTTAAATTATAAACATGTGTATTAAAAATAAATAGAATGTGTTTCTGAATGAAACATGTGAAACGTTTATTACAATTTTCTCGATGTATTGTTAAAATATGTTTCAAATACATTTGTTTAGGTAGAAACAGTATCAGTTGCAACCACATCAGCAGAAGGAAAAGCAATGCGTGAAAAAGAAGGGCAGCTTTTCTCAAGATTTCCATCATCGGTAACACCGGCCGCCGCACCATCCGAAGATGAAGAAGATGTGCCATCTAGAAGTATTCTTAAAAAGCAAGCACAACAATTGGTCGACATTAAAAGTCGTAGAAAAGGATTTACATTTAGAAGATGAATTGTTAGTAACACTTTTAATATTTATTAGCTAAATCGTTAATAATTAGCAAGACGTCATTTTAGGATTCTAATTTAAGTTAATTTACAATACCAAATAATATAATAATGTAATGTTACACAGCATTAGTTAAAAAAAGAATAAATCTTTAATAACGAAAGCTTTCCAAGCGACGATTTCATGTAATTCACATAAAATAATAGATTTGAATAAGCTTATGATATATATTTAAACATATTGTATATATTTATATTCAATCGTTTGTTCTATGTTAATTTAACAATTTCCCGAAATATATTAAAGCATTAGAAATAAGATTTCATGTACAAACAAGAATCACATATCTTTGTAACAGATGAGAAAATAAAAAACCATTTTTAACCTTCATTATATTAACCTTCAATAATGCAATATCGAAATATAATTATTTTCTTTGTATGCTTACAAATCAACATAGAATAAGTTATGAAAGTAAAAGATAAATTCCGTCATTGAGAAGAGCCATCTCTAGTGAAAAGAATACACTACAGTTAGCAGTTTATTGAGGTACGAGTGCCATCTGTTGAGCAGCACGCCTGCGATTACCGACTAGAGCTGCTAGAGTACTCGCTGTTCGTCGGTAACATGTACACAATGTTTTGCCGCCATGTGCTTCGCTGCTCGCTTCTCTCTGTCCGACAGGATTGAGCTACGCGTAATCAATACCGACGGAGGGTATTTTTTTAGTACTTAAATGTGCTGCCTTCTTTTACATATTTCTATGGATAATAATCACTAAACTGTGAATCCTAAATCAAAAGGTACGAAAAACATAGTTTTAGAAATATAGAAGTGAGATTATTAATTTTCAAATGGAGAAATAATAAAACAAAAATAATGAACACAAAATATTCATTTTATTCTGAATTTGTTCGAATTACAGGTATATCATGTATACAATTATCATTTAAATCATAGCGATAAATAATCATTTTCAAAATGTTAAACTTCTTGAAACATATTGTTAAATATTTATGTAAATATTTATTTAATTATATGACATAGAAGTCAAAATTATACTAGTGTTAGAATACTTTCGTTACCGACTGCAAATACTCTGGTGTGATTTTTTTCGTGAAATATATCACAGTTTGATGATTATTATCCAGAGAAATATGTAAAAAAAAAAACAGAACATTGAAGTACTAAAAAAAATTCAAATGTTATTTACGAAAAGTGGGTGCCCCATTGGATCCCTTCATCGGTGTTGATTAGGCGTATATAATATATAAGCTCTTTTCAAGGCCATACATATTAACCCAGGAAAGTTTGTCCGTAGATATTATTGATAAGTTATCAGTGTTTAGTGATAATGTAGTAAAAGTGACCGTTGGAATAGCCTGCCTGGAGACATCCTTCTGTTCGTCGCCGTCGGATACAGATCAGCTGTGCAGTTCATCATACATTGTACGAGGTCAATGCACTATCCTCCAGCACACATTTCTGACCATAGAGTGAATTTACAACTAAATGGATGAGTTTCTTATTGATAATATTCTTCATATTTCTTTAACAAACAAATCTCTTACGTCCTTTAACACGATTATTATTTATTAAATTAGCTTTGCAAATCGTTCGTTGAATTGTGTTCGGACGCGGAATTATTTAAATTAAAATATCATTTACGTACTTTATATATATATATATATACCATATGAAATTTTTAAGCAAGGTGTATATATATATATATACACGAGGTGTCATACATACACCAGAAAATTAAAACGACCGTCACGGTTAAACTACTTATTATTTCGGGTCCGAAAAATTAGTAAATATTCTTCAAACATTCTGAAATAAGGATGAACAGCGTTTTTCTTAAAATTATCACTGTCACGTAGTAAAAAAAAATATCAAAAGTTCATCCTCCATGACTTGTTCATTGATTCGAACGCGGCACAGAATCCCCCTTCAGCTGTCAAACTTAGCGGTAGGAGCACGTGGCGCTCGATCGATCGACCACGTAATGGTTCGCGCCATCGCCTCTCATTGGTCAGTGTTTTTCGTTAATAACTCGTAAACAAAGCCGCGGATGGCATTTTCGCAAAGGAAAAAGTTACTTCAAATGACCTCAGCTACCTCTCATTTTCGGCTGTTAAAATGATTGTGAAACACCCATATATTGTATAATACATATCACTGCTTTATTTTAGATATTTTTAGATATTTTTCTTTCGAGCTACTTAANAAAAAAAACAGAACATTGAAGTACTAAAAAAAATTCAAATGTTATTTACGAAAAGTGGGTGCCCCATTGGATCCCTTCATCGGTGTTGATTAGGCGTATATAATATATAAGCTCTTTTCAAGGCCATACATATTAACCCAGGAAAGTTTGTCCGTAGATATTATTGATAAGTTATCAGTGTTTAGTGATAATGTAGTAAAAGTGACCGTNTAACCCAGGAAAGTTTGTCCGTAGATATTATTGATAAGTTATCAGTGTTTAGTGATAATGTAGTAAAAGTGACCGTTGGAATAGCCTGCCTGGAGACATCCTTCTGTTCGTCGCCGTCGGATACAGATCAGCTGTGCAGTTCATCATACATTGTACGAGGTCAATGCACTATCCTCCAGCACACATTTCTGACCATAGAGTGAATTTACAACTAAATGGATGAGTTTCTTATTGATAATATTCTTCATATTTCTTTAACAAACAAATCTCTTACGTCCTTTAACACGATTATTATTTATTAAATTAGCTTTGCAAATCGTTCGTTGAATTGTGTTCGGACGCGGAATTATTTAAATTAAAATATCATTTACGTACTTTATATATATATATATATACCATATGAAATTTTTAAGCAAGGTGTATATATATATATATACACGAGGTGTCATACATACACCAGAAAATTAAAACGACCGTCACGGTTAAACTACTTATTATTTCGGGTCCGAAAAATTAGTAAATATTCTTCAAACATTCTGAAATAAGGATGAACAGCGTTTTTCTTAAAATTATCACTGTCACGTAGTAAAAAAAAATATCAAAAGTTCATCCTCCATGACTTGTTCATTGATTCGAACGCGGCACAGAATCCCCCTTCAGCTGTCAAACTTAGCGGTAGGAGCACGTGGCGCTCGATCGATCGACCACGTAATGGTTCGCGCCATCGCCTCTCATTGGTCAGTGTTTTTCGTTAATAACTCGTAAACAAAGCCGCGGATGGCATTTTCGCAAAGGAAAAAGTTACTTCAAATGACCTCAGCTACCTCTCATTTTCGGCTGTTAAAATGATTGTGAAACACCCATATATTGTATAATACATATCACTGCTTTATTTTAGATATTTTTAGATATTTTTCTTTCGAGCTACTTAATTATTTGGAACTACACGATTCTTTCGAGCTACTCAATTCTTTCGAATCGCTCGGTTTTACCAAGTAATCGACTCGACTTGAAAACCGAATCTCTCCGAATTTCGAGCCGCTTGAATATTCGAGTATTCCGACAGCCTTATTACCAACCTTCGAGTGCTCTTGCACAGACCATAGACGATGTCTGAGTAGAACACCGAACACCATATTGGATTTTGTGTCTCATGTTCTGAAATACCGACATCGCTATAAATGAGATGTTTCCCGCACCTTCTGCCAAAATTAGAGATGGCGCGACTAGTCACTGACCGTGATTTATCACTGAGATCACTGAATCGCGATTGTGGTCGTGATTTCACTTATTTTTGTAATGTTTTTGTTTTGACTTAATTTATTATATGCTTAAAGCATATACAGAGGGTGTAGAAAGTATTCGTACACCGATCAATTTCAAACAAAACTTCGTGAAATCGTAGTTTGTTAATAATTTTTTTATAAACAATGAGTCTGTACATATTTTCGGAAGTCTCTAGAATAAATACTATGTAAAAGAAAATTTGTAACTTGCATAATTTGCGAAATCAACAAGAAAAAACAAAAAATCGACAGAATTACAGAAGCAATTCGTACAGTTTATATTTTGAACTTTCTACAAGAAAATTTAAAACATAAACACATTACACTGCTACTTCATAACTATGGTTAAGATCATCAGTATATTTGGATACTTTATCTTTTTATTTATTTATGTTCAAAATTTTACAGTATTCAAAATTATCTTTGAAAAATGGAACGAAAACGTGTGGAAAGTACGATAGAAGAAAGAAAAATCATTATTAATTTACATAATCAGTGTAAAAGTTTATCAGAAGTATCGTGGACTATAAGCAGACCTCGATCTACTATGTAAAGTATAATTAATAGGTATGGACAAAGAAACAGACTGCAAAATAACTCGAGAACTGGATGTCCACGATCTTAGACAGTATGGATGAGTTATTATTAGAATGATAAGGCAAGATCCAAAAATAAGTGCAATAAAAATAGTTGACCATCTTAAAAATAATTTAGACATTGATTTATCTGTTAGTACCGTGTGTAATTTTTTACGAAGCCAGGAGTATCACGGTTGAGTGGCTCGTAACAAATATTTTGTTTCTGAAGCGAACAGAAAGAAGAGATTTCAGTTCACAAATAATAATACCAACAAATCAATGAAGTGCTGGAATAAAGTGATTTTCACAGATGAAAGTAAATTTAATATTTTCAGATCTGATAGACATTGTTCTATTTGGAGAAGAAAGAATGAGGAATTGAAATTGAAAAACTTATGGCCTACAGTGAAACACAGTAGAGGTTCCGTAATCATTTGGAGCTGTATGAGTGCAGCCGTTGGCACATTACAATTTATCGATGGAATAATGAACCACCGAGTTTACATTGACACCTTAAAATCAAATCTTTCTTCCAATGCAGGAAAAATAGGCATTAAAGATGACGATCATGCAAGATAACGATCTAAAACATACTGCATATAAATCCAAAATGTGGATACTGCATAATACACCAGTGTATCTACAAACTTCCCCACAATCTCCAGATATCAACCCAATAGAACACTTGTGGGATTACACTTGGAATGTCAGATTAGGAAACATCAAATTTCCTCAAAAGAAAGTTTAAAAAATGCTCTCCAGCAGAAATGGAGCAAGATCTTGCCTCGCATAAAATCAAATTTAGTTAATTCATTGCTTAAAAGAATTGCAGCAATAATTAAATAAAAAAGAAACCCTACAAAGTATTAACTGTCTAGCCTGATTTTTTTATTGTCAAATTCATCTAAATTATGTTTCTTCTTCTAAACTTATAAAAATTTAACAATTGTGCGAATACTTATTGCTTCTGTAATTCTGTCGATTTTTTGTTTTTTCTTGTTGATTTCGCAAATTATGCAAGTTACAAATTTTCCTTTGCACAATATCTACTCTAGAGATTTGCGAAAATTTGTACAGACTCATTGTTTATAAAAAAAATTGTTAATAAACTATCATTTCACGAAGTTTTGTTTGAAATTTTTCGATGTATGAATATGTACTTTCTACATCCACTGTGTGTATACCTGGAGGCAGTATCTGTTACTGCTGAACATGTAAACAATTTTTAGGCAGGGATAGTCTCTAATTGTAGTGGACCTGTCTCACTCTAACCGAGGATAAGATTTTTTAAACCAGATATATACAGTATAGTAACAACGTTAATTGTTTATACTTTAATGAAACAATGAGTACATTCTTTGGGAAAATAACACTGTCCAACAGGATTTTTGATTTCTTATAGCCACTATGAAATTCTTGTAGAGCTTCTCTCCCCGATCAAGGATCCGAAAACCGAATTGCTCCATCACGCTCAGTTTTCGAAGAAACGAGATTTTGTAAAAACCCAAAATTTTCGTCAAAAATAAGGTATTGCATGAAAAGTAAATACGTTAGAAAGTTCTAATCGGTGTTAAAAGATAGAGGAGAGTTTCTCGAATATAGTGGCATGCAATTTATTAATTGTCTTTGGTCCTAAATAGCAATAAATTAATGTCAAAGTTTAAAAAATTGTCTATGTGCGCTGTATCTGCGCAATATTTTTGTACTTTTACGAAAAGTTGTTTGTCCTGCACAAAAACTTTACCCAGGATCGGATTCTGTAGACATTTCTGAAGAAGAAACGGCCCGGTGAAAGTGTGGGAACGATATAAATTTCGAGTAGGTCGAGAAAATGTTCGTCGGTAACATGTACACGATGTTTTGCCACCATATGCTTCGCTGCTCGCTTCTCTCTGACCGACAGGATTGAGCTACGCGTAATCAACACCGATGAAGGGATCCAATGGGGCACCCAATTTTCGTAAAATAATATTTGAATTTTTTTTTAGTACTTCAATGTTCTGATTTTTTTTTACATATTTCAAAAAAAGAATCACACCAGAGTATTTGCAGTGGGTAACGAAAGTATTCTAACACTAGTATAATTTTGACTTCTACGCCATATAATTAAATAAATATTTAAATATATATTTAACAATATGTTTCAAGAAATTTAACATTTTAAAATGATTATTTATTCATGATCGTATTATCGCTATAATTTAAATGATAACTGTATACATGATATACCTGTAATTCGAACAAATTCAGAATAAAATGAATATTTTGTGTTCATTATTTTTGTTTTATTATTTCTCTATTTGAAAATTAATAATCTCACTTCTATATTCCTAAAACTATGTTTTTTGTACCTTTTGATTTAGGATTCACAGTTTAGTGATTATTATCCATAGAAATATGTAAAAGAAGGCAGCACATTTAAGTACTAAAAAAATACCCTCCGTCGGTATATTGATTACGCGTAGCTCAATCCTGTCGGTCAGAGAGAAGCGAGCAGCGAAGCATATGGCGGCAAAACATCGTGTACATGTTACCGACGAACATTTTCTCGACCTACTCGAAATTTATATCGTTCCCACACTTTCACCGGGCCGTTTCTTCTTCAGAAATGTCTACAAAATTCGATCCTGAGTAGAGTTTTTGTGCAGGACAAACAACTTTTCGTAAGAGTACAAAAATATTGCGCAAAACTACGCATGTCGACACTTTTTTAAACTTTACATTAATTTATAGTTATTTAGGACCAAAAAACAATTAATAATTAGGCCGATTAGAACTTTCTAACGTTTGTACTTTTCATGCAATACCTCATTTTTGTTGAAAATTTTAGGTTTTCACAAATCTCGTTTTTTCGAAAACTGAGGGTGATGGAGCAATTCGGTTTTCGGATTCTTGTTCGGCGAGTGAAGCTCTAGAAGAATTTCATAGTGGCTATAGAAAATCAGAAAAAAAGTTTGATTTTGTCGGATAGTGTAATCAGATAAAATAATAAACACATTATTTCTGAAGTATATAATTTTTTATTGATTATAATTTATTATAAGTAGTGTGAATCTCCTCCTTACGTTTCTTACTAATGAACTCTACTCGCATTCGCAGTGATTCATTCTAATACGTACGCAGATACTAATTAATTTTTTAATAATATTAGTTCTGTGTTATTTTCTTTGTATCGCCAACCAAAGAGATACACCACAGACGAGTTCGTCGATGACTGCAGTTAGCTTCAGTCGGTAATATAGGTCGAGTAGTTATATATTAATTACACTATCCGACAAAATCAAACTTTTTTTCTGATTTCCTATAGCCACTATGAAATTCTTGTGAAGCTTCACTCCCCGAACAAGAATCCGAAAACCAAATTGCTCCATCACCCTCAATTTTTGAAAAAAAACGGGCTTTTGTAAAAATTTACAATTTTCGGCAAAAATGAGGTATTGTATAAAAAGTAAAAACATTAGTAAGTTCTAATCAGCCTCAAAAGGTAAAGAAGAATTTTCCGAATATAGTGGCATACAATTTATGAATTGTTTTTGGTCCTAAATAACTATAAATTAACGTCAAAGTTTAAAAAAGTACCAACGTGCGTAGTTCCTCCGCAACATTTTTGTATTTTTACGAAAAGTTCTTTGTCCAGCACGAAAACTCTACCCAGGATCCGATTCTGTAAACATTTCTGAAGAAAGAACGGCACGATAAAAGTGTCGGAACAATTTATATTTCGTGCAGGCCGAGAAAATATTCGTTGGTAACGCTTCATAACATTTTGCCGCCATGTGTTCCGCTGCTCGCTTCTCTCGGTTTCGCAGGGCCGCAGCTATGCGTAATCAACACCGATAGAAGGATCCAATGGAGCATCCACTTTGTGTAGGTAATATTTGGATATTTTGCTACTAGTTTCATACCTCTATTGTTTAACAATATGTTTCAAGAAGTTCAACATTTTTTTAATTATTATTTATTTGTGATCGATGTCGTTTTATATCTGTATTTTACACGATTTGTTTATAGTATGCATTTTTTTGTTACACCGTTGGGGGGATCCATTGGGGCATCCACTTTGTCATGTTCTAAAATTAAAAGAAATATCTAGTAACTCTATTTGACAAATGTGGCATAATATTGAAAAGAATGAATTTTAGGCTTTTATCGGAGTTATCGTCAATATGGGTATGATACCTCTGACAAATATGCAGGAATACTGTTCGATTAAGGACAATAGTAGGATCCTTTTCTTTAATAACATATTTACAAGAAAAAGATTCAACCAGATATTCTAAATGTTACATTTGAAAACACCTGATCCTGCGAGAAATGATATTAGAACAGTTATTCAACGAGCAAGTAATTTTTTAGGATATATAAAGTCAAGATTTTCAGAACATTAAAATGTTTGTGTTGACGAATCCGTAGTAAAATTTAAAGGAAAAATATATGCGTTTTATTAAATACAATCCCAATAAACCTACTAAGTGGGGCTTTCGAAAAAATCGGAAATATTTGTCCAAACTATATCATGTTTGGTCTCATTTTAATCACAGAATTATCATCAATATGTTTTAAAAAAATCAGTTTTAAAATGTTAAAATTAAAAAAAGTTCAACTCCGTTGAACCTTAGCAATATCACGGCGTCAGTGATGGCAGACCAAAATTATGTCATTTAGAGAGACATTACTGTATGCTCTAAGACTACATGTGATAGCTTTGTGATTTATATCATATATTTCATTTGATCTTGAATCTTGATTGGTGAAATATTTGTTATAAAATACTTCAATATATAGTTTATATGAAAATGCGCATATAATAAAATGTATTAAGTTATCCCATAAGTTTCTCTCCTTTTTGCGATACGAAATGAATACACGATATTTGCTGTTTATTTATTGCGTTATACAAATATGAATCGTTATACTCTATTACCTTCTCCCATCTCACAGGAAGCCTTCCTTCCCACTTTCCAAATTGTTGGAAAGTTTTATTGCTTACTTGCAAAATATTCTCGAAGTGTGTTTCTATTTCGCTTACGAATTGGAACCCGTTTATCATGCAGAGAATTTTTTAATGACAAGAATGGAGCAAAATCTGGGGAGTACGGAGGATGCGATAAAACGTTCCAATAAAACTGTAATAGTTTTTCTGTTACATCCGATGCAACATGCGGTTTTGCATTGTTGTGATAAAAAACGATGCTTCGTCGATTCGCCAATTCTGGCCATTTTTCTGCTACGGTGACTTTCAATTTTGACAGTCTGCAGTATTTGGCAGAACAGATGGTTTCACCTTGAGGAAGGAGCTTGCAGTAGACTATATCTTTTCAGTCCCACCAAATAGACAAAAGAACTTTCTTCGGGTGAAATCCAGGCTTCGTAACAGTTGAAGGTCTATTACCCTTAGAGCAGACTCCAGTGGTCTCTTTTATGTCGCTGGAGAAGCAAATTGTATGTAGAGACGCGGTTCATAAGGCCAGTTTTCGTCAATAGTTATGGGACCCAAACTTTACATCGATTAACATATTCTATCCTGATCAGATGATTATGTATCGTTGTCCTGGGAATGTTAGTCGCATTCACTATATCGCAGATTTTCAGCGAGCATGGCCTTGATAAGGTCCGTATCCATCGTTGTTGGGCGGCCGCTGCAATCGTCATCTTCCAAGTCAAAATTATCAGCTCTAAACCTCTTAAACAAATTGTGAACAATCGTAATAGTTGTAATACCACTCCCCTAAACGATACAAATCTCGTCTGCAATATTCTTTGCGCAATTTTTTTTAAGCAACGAAGCATAATATTGCTAGCCCCTATTCGCATTGAATGATGTAGAAAAAGGTTTTGAAAAAAACTGTGTCACCAACAAAACGTACTTTAAGAGAACTCTGGATTAACTGAAACCGATGACATAGATAAGCCTGCATGTTTATGTAAACAGCCAGTTGAAGTAATTCCTAGCGTGGTGCGAAAGAAACTTATGGGAAAACCTAATACTTTTAAATTAAAAATGAAAAGTAATTAAGTTCTTTGCTCTTCTTATCCTATACCATCCCAACCTTTTAAGGAGTAAAATTAATTCTTCGTCTCGAATTCGCAACAATAATGTAATAGGTAGATATTTTCATTTAAATAGTATATAAAAGTGCAAACAATTTCTTTTATATAATGTATACATATACATCCATACTATTTAAAACGGTAGAAAGAAGGAATTTTAAAACAATGATTTTCCTGTAATTAAAAAATAATGTATATAATATGTAGCATTATTTAAATTTATGATTATGAATGTTTAAAGTTACATTTATGGAACTCTCTCAATTTCGTAAATTTGTTCATACAAATTACTGTCATCATACTGTTTAGAAAGATAGAACTCTTTAGCCATTTCATAACTTTAAACTACCTGATTATCCCAACGCTTTCGTCTCCCTTCCGGCTCGAATAAATGAAGTTCTACTTATTGTCTTCGGTCGTCAATTTCGTGATTAATACATGTACAGCAAATTAGAATTATTTTAATTTATTAGAATTATTCAAGCCTTGCGGCTCGTTTTCATAGATAGTGACAATCGACAATTAAAAAACCGAACTGTAAGCTTCGAACATTTGGAGAGAATTTATTCTACAATAAATGAAAACTATTTAGGAGAGAATTTAGTGGACATATTTCCGTTCGTCGCTTCGTTGATTTTTTTGCACGTGTTGTCCATCTGTCGAAGTTAAAGAGAGGCTGGAGTTGGTCAGCAATGAAGTCATTAAACAGTTCGGACCCGCATAATTTTCTTACCTAGCGTAACGGTTTTCCTTCAGGTATATCTAATCGCCGTCCTTTCGGCCTAATCCGCTGAAAGGACGGCCAGGTAGGCGGGATTTTCGCTGTTGCCGTCGCCAAATGGTTACTAACCCTCGCTATATGTACCCTCAACAGCCAAACGTGCTGTTTGACACTAGACATCGGCTGCCGTTTGCTTAAAAGTATGGTAAGATAATAATAATAATAATAATAATAGTAATAACGATACAATTTTAATAAAAAAAAAAAGGTTATATACATAAGGACCCAATCATGGGCCTTTGCGTGAACAGCTATCGCCGAGAGTTAATTACTCTGTCCAACAAGCATTTTGCTTTCTAATAATCACTGAGTCATCCGTGACTCATCGTAGAATGTCACTTCCGAAACACAAATCCGAAAACCGAATTGCTATATTACCTCCAGTTAAAAAAAAAATCGAGTTTTAGTAAAAACGCGTGAGATTTTGAGCAAAAACGAAGTATTAAAACTAAAAACGTTAGAAAGTTCATATTGGCTTGAAGGATAGAGGAAATGTACCTGAAAGTGTCAGTATTGATATTTACAAAACTTCATGCTTCTAAACATTGTTAAATGACCGTCAACATTTTTTAAAAATGCCGAAGTATGTATTTTCTACGCAATATTTGTGCATATATTAACGAAAAGTAAATATGTTTGTTGTGCTCGGCGTTTTGCCGCCGCGTGATTTGTTGCTCGCTTGATTCGACTCGTCAGTGCCGCAGCTATGCACGATCAACGCTGATAAGGACGTCCAATGTGGCAATACTAACTGTTTATTTTATTCACATAAAAAGCCCGGGAAAACCACCAACTTTGAGCGATGTCCATATTTCAGATCGTATTATGCGAAACCTGATATGGTAGTTGGTCTATTCTTATATGTACGTCGTCTACAGTTTGTGATACGGATGTGTTTTTAGGATTCATATGGGGCTGTATCTCCGTAAGAATATTTCGTTCGAATGTAGAATCTATTCTTCTACATCGTTTATGGCGTTCGGTCTATTCTCATGTATTATCTGATCTGGGGCCTTTTTGTTAGTTTGGTAACTCAGAACCGTAGACAGAAAATTACATTACGTCAGATGTCTATCAGACGTCTTATTATATCAGACTGTGCGATTTTTGTTTTGTATTTAAAACCTAGCATGTGGGCCACATGAGTCAAATAATACTGAATGTTTATAGTAGTATTACTAATTCATACTTTAAATGAACACGTAGAAAATGGGCCAGAAACGTAAGAATCGCAATGAAAAAGATGATTTTGAATACGATCCACATCCTAAACACTTGCAAGTAGCACACATAAAAAGTCAGGAGAAACGTTTAATTGTTATTTTGGACAAGGCTCAGTTAGAATCTGTAAAGGTAAGGTTATGTTTAAAAACTTGATTTTTCAGTCTATTATTTTATATATATATATTACTGTACACTTTTTATGAATATTAACACTTTGTCAGTCGTTGTCACGTACACATAACTTTGTGAAAAGTATAAAAATTATAAAAATCGATTTACCGCAATTTAAAAAAAAATATGTCATAATTATACTATTAATACTTCAACTGTTGGATCACCCAAATTTGAGTGAAAAAAAATGTATGTTAATCACTGATTTTCAATAAGATAAATAATTAAATTTGCAGGAACAACTTTCTAATTTTTCTTATAGATTCAAGAAATATAAATTTATATGATTCTTAGTATTTGTTAATTTTTTAATAAATAATAATAAATTTTTTAATTTTTTAATTCAACATTATATGTTGAAGCATATATGTCGTAGAAAATTTTTTCTGATATTGTTTTCTGTGATCATTGTAATTTTTAAATTAAATGTTCTCTATTAGGTTGGAAATAGTTTTGAATTATTAAATTGTGATGATCACACAAACATCTTGAAAAAGCATAATCGTGATCCTGGATCCTGCAGACCAGATATAACTCATCAATGTTTATTAATGTTAATGGATAGTCCATTAAACAGAGCAGGATTGTTACAAGTTTATATTGCTACGGAAAAGAATGTATTAATAGAAGTAAATCCACAAACCAGAATACCAAGAACATTTAAACGTTTTGCTGGTCTCATGGGTAAGAAATAAAATAACAAAATTATTGAAAATATATAAGAAACTAACCACTTTTTTCACTGTTTGTTAAGTTTATAAAAATAACTTTTACTTGTACTTTACAGTACAGTTATTACATAAATTTAGTGTTCGTGCATCTGATGGGCCAATGAAACTCTTGAAAGTAATTAAAAATCCAGTGACAAATCATTTACCAGTTGGATGTCACAAAATAGCAATGTCATTTAGTGCAAATACTGTAAAAAACCCAAGAGAATTAGTTCCTTCTGATGAACCAATTGCTATTGTGGTAGGTGCAATGGCACATGGGCAAGTATGTATCAGTATTTATGGAAATGATTTTAAAATATATATGTGTAATAATTTTATAAGTTAAACTTATTGAATTTGTATAAAATTATTTTATCTAATTATAGGTGAAACCAGAATACGTTGAAGATACTATATCAATTAGCAATTATCCACTATCTGGAGCTTTAACATGCAGTAAATTATGTACTGCATTTGAAGAAGTTTGGGGAATAGTTTAGATACAAAATTAATTGTATGCATTACATGTGTGCAACTTAAATCATATGGTTTATATTTGTTTTTACGTACGATAAAAAGTTATTTTGTAAAATGTATAACAAAATAATAAAGCATTAGAAAGTAGATACTTTCAGAATTCAATACAAATGCAACAATTCACTTTCTTGATATAGTGCTACAATATAATGAATTATACAGTTTTCATTCATTAGTTCGTGACATATCCGTGTAATTGTCTCCATTCAAATATTTACGCATAAGGGATGACCGAAGAAACCATTATTACGTAATTCTTAGTGGAAAATCCTAAACGTAATGACTCATCAACATTGGTTTTCAAACGATTGGTCGACAGCGAAGGTTTTACACCAGTGTACCAATCGCTATTCAGAACGGAGGTAAGCAGAATGGCGACCGGAAGGAAGCCAATATGTACGCTATCAAATTCTCAATATTTAGTTTCTCTTTTGACTTTTATATTCTATTACGTCATCAACGCAAAAATGGTTGTCAATTCTTAGTACATATGCAGTACGTTCTTTTATCTTTATGCAACTTGCTATATGAAGATTTTACACTGCTGTTTTTTAAGCCTTGGAAGCTATTGTTTTTGTGATTTAACACTTCCATCCCAAGTGACTAGTTAAAACCGTGAAGCATTGAAGAGTGATTCTATTACCGTCAAGGAGACGCCATTTTGTGATTTAGTGCCATTGTTATTCGCATCAATGTGCATGATAAAAATTTCTTACGTATTCTAATTTAAATTGAAATAATATTTCCATTGTACCGTGTTTTTCTAACGATAGAATTAAAAGTGTTGTCAGTGACAAATTTTTAAGATGCAAAATTGACTACCGTAGTCAATGTCACGAGTTTACAGTATCTGCTGATGCGTCAGCATTTACTTTATGACATCGATTGGATTTTATACGTTAACTGAACTGTTTATATGAATGTGTTATTGCTCATCTTTACAAAACATGATTATTTTAACTTCCTACATCATATTTTGGTCAAAATGTTATAATATAAGAAAAGTCAATTATTTATGACTCGCCATGTTTGATGTGTAACGGAACTTGCTGTGAGATGATGACACACACACGTCATGCCAGAATTTCATTCTATTCGCGCGCAATGTTCGCCACGTGTCAGTAATGTTTATAATTTTTATTTCATTTATGTTGTTATTTTAACAATTTATGGGATCGTAGTGAAAATAAACGTAATTATAGATTTTACAATATCCCAAAATGCATTGCAGGTAGTTACAGAATCGTGGAATTGGACCAAGGCTTGCGCGGTGATTAATAAATTTTGAACTTCTATTTCAAATAAGAAAATTAATAACTGTTTATATTCCAAAATGTTATGTCGTGACTTCTGAAATTATCTGTTATTAATAATTATATTTATAGATCATTATTTTTGTGACGTAAAAATGCATTATGGGTGGACATGGAACGATGGAAATTAACCATTAATTTTTGTGTTGGTTAAGAAAGTGTATTCTCATTTTATGAATGAGAAAGTGCAATTATTGTATATCTCAATGCCTGTATCCTTAATGTACCTACTTATTATCTTTAACAATAAAGAATCAAAAATATCTGTGAATAAAATTTATTATCATTACAATTCAATATACCCCCGATATATGGGCGATTTACACTAGAAAATGATATATTATTACTTTATGAATCATATAATCGTAAACTCTGCGAATAATATCAACAAAGAGTAATTATAGCTGTATAAATTAGTAAAGCAGCTCTTTGAATAGCACAATATATATAATATTATACAATATTGAAAAGAAATATAGAAAATATGTGGTCATTTCAAAATTGGCGCTTTTCCGCTCGGGATAGTTCGGTAAAGTTCGGTTTGACGGCGTGGAGAGGGAAATGGATAGACAGGTCGTACTCGAGGAACAACGGAATAGGACCATTCGGTACGTCGCGGAAGAATGCGTAGCCATTGTTGGTGCTGCGATCGTTAGTTTCTAGATCCGAGATCGTCATGGGCACGGAAAGCCATCCAATTGCACGAGACTCCAGGAAAATGTCGGTGGAGCTCGGTACGAGGCACTGATACGATATTAGTGCAAGAGATCGACGTCCGCAGTCGTAAGTGAACAGCTAGTTGGACTGGTCGCGTCCGCGTTCGTCGCGTATGCGAACCGAGCGCTCGCACGAGTGAGAGTGAGTGAGTGAGTGATACGGTGGGGCACACTCGGCGGCGGCCATAACACCGACCAACCAAACTAGCAAGCAGGGAGAAAGCGTAGTGCGAGTTGAGTGTTCAAGACGTAGTGGTAGTGTTTTTCGATAGAATTCCTGTGGAAAGTGGACTTCCATTGATGAGGTAAGTGATTACAAGTAATCTTGGACTTTGTGGATCTATTGATGATAAGTATAGCGCGTGGTGTGTGTCGTGGTGGTGCGTAAGTGGCGGCTGTAGCAGCGGGCCCTTGGGAGCTTTCTTTCCCGAGCGGCCATACCGCCATGTTGAAACCTACGCCAAATCGAGTAACCGAAAAGGCGGCTCGGGTATTTCGCGCGCGCCATAATTGTCCGATGTGAGAAACATTGCGAATTCGAAGCTAGTCGAGCGCACGACTAGATTCTCACACGGCGGCTTGCTCGTGTTTGTTGTGTGCGTCGGCTGGGTGCATCGGCTGGGCGCGGGTCTGCTACCCTTCCCCGCGCCATCCTCTCCTACTTGTCCTCCACCTCTTCCACTCTCGTATCTACCGCGTTTATTTCTTTCCCATCGTCTCTCGTGGATCTCACCTTTCTCTGTTCCTACTTCAACAACTTTTAACCACCAAGCACCTGTTCAGCCCGCGATACTCTTATCTCTTGCCCTTGATACTCGGACCTCTACGAATAGAACGTCTCCGCGGCATGGATTGTTCTGGCAATGCTCCTCTTCACCACGGTAGAAGCTTTTGTTCAAAGCTTCCCAAACTCAAAATCTTATGGTTACCCGCGAGATTGTTTTTTTCCCTCTGTATATTGTCAATTTTGTATTTTAATAGTCAGCTCACTTTCTATACCAGTGTACCAGTTATTTGTGCTACTTTTGTCAAACTTTCCATTTTGGCTTATACTGGTCTTGAATAAAACTGGGTATGCACATTGATTCGTGTACACACAATCTCAGATATTATCACACATCAAAAATGTTACACTTTGAACAATCATTCGTGTTCCTAACACACTTTTCCTCCATACTTATTGTTCATACCCATTTCTTGATGATTTGTGACTTCATTATTACAAACTTTTTGTTCTTTTGCCATTTAATATTTCGTATTCGAATATTTGTAAAAAACTAGTATTCGTTCGACAACTATAATTATAATATACGATGGTATATGATGGGTTTAATGAGACACATGCAAACAAAATTAGATATTTTATCATGGGTGTATATT